CAGCCCCCCCCAGCCCAGCCCTGGTCCCACCACATACACCAAGGCTGCCCATTGGCTGCTGGGAAGTGTTTACCAGCCACGAGGCCCAATGGTAAGCCCTCCTGCTCAGCCTCTGAGGGGCGGGAGCACCTGTGGGAGGAGGGCTCCCCAAGTGGTGGGGCTGATCCCCTATTCTGCCTCTCCCTCGGGTCTGGTTCAGGACCTGGAGGGGGTTGTGCCTCTAACCCAAGTCCACACCCCACCCGTGACCCTGGTCCCATTTTAAGAGAAAGCCAGGCAGGAACAAAGGCCTAGTGTGCCCAGGACAAAGGAGAAAGGTCCCGCTGGCCCTTGTCCCCTCCTGAAGCCTTGTGGCAACCCCTGGGACTGCCACCATGGAAACCCCCTCCCACACTCACTAATTGCCCCCGTGGGTGCCTGGGACAGGGGCTGTCGCCAGGACAACAGGGCTGGTGCTGATGCAGGCTTGCCTCTCTGGGCGCCCATTCCCGCCCTGCGGCCTTGCCTCCCTGGGGACCCTCCCCGCAGGGTGGAAGGTGGAGGGAGGGGGCAAGGCAGGCATCGGGAGTCTGGAGTCCTGCCTAAGTGGTGGAGTCAGTCGGCCACATCCCAGTGGCTGCCCGGGAACGTTGGCACAGTGATCGGTCAGAATGTTCTAATGACAGCCACAGGCCATGGGAACGCACGCACTGTACATGTTTTTGTGGTACTGACCATGCTTAGCCAGGCCCTGGGTCCAGGGCGGAGCACCCCCTCCCTAGGAGCCCAGAGGAGGCATCAAAGATCTGCTCAGTTTCCTGGGGGAAACTGAGGCTCAAGAGGGGAGGGAACTTGACCAAGGCCTTGCTGCCCATGGCAGACCCCACCCCCACATTGGGCAGCCACCTCAGTCTGCCCTCCTGGGGGTGCTCCCTCTCGGGCTCCCACCCCCAGCCTGCCCCAGCCAGGCAGCAGTTGAAAGAGCTTCCTGAGCCCTCCCTCTCCCCCCTCCCCACTACAGAAGCTGCATTAATAACCCACTCACCTGCAGGTCAGCCCCTTTCTCAGACCCCTCCCCACACCGTTTCTCTGGAGGCGGGACTGATAGCCTCTTTAGACAAAGGGAGGAATGGAGACTGGGAGTACCCAGCCTTACTAAGGTCACAGTGAGGGCCAGAGCCTGCTGGAGCGCAGCTCTCAGCTTCTAGACCATGTGAGCCTCAGAGGGGGCAGCTAATGGGACCTCAGGTGCTGAAATTACCCCAGAACTCCCTGCCCTCCACGGGCTCAGCTCTTCTGGGAGAGCTGGGGCACAGGACAGGAACAGCCTCGGCCTTGGCCCGGGACCCAGGCATCTGTCAGGAGGCTGGGAGGGGGCCACAGTGTCAGTGGGTCCCCCTGGATAGAGACCCTAGGGGCAGGTGATCTCCAGCAGGGCCCTCCAGGTGGGGCTGAGTCACTGCCTTTTCTACTCAGAGAAGGATTTTCTGGACTGGGGTTCTTATCAACCATCTACCTGGGGAGACTGGCCAAGCAGTCAGACTAGCAAAAGGACAAGCTCCCTCCTCCTGAGAGCGCCTTTTTGCATGTACTGCCCCCGCAAGGCCGCGCTGGCCCCTGCAGTGCCTGTGTGCTTGTTGGGAAAAGGTGCCTCTCCTCTGGGCCTGGGGAAGTGACCACTCAGCTGGTGCCTTTGTGCCGGTAAACTGTACTCAGTGAACCTGGCTGCAAAGGGGCTCAGAGAAGGAGAGCCATGCCCCTGAGCACTCAGCCTGTGGGGACTGAAGCTGGGATGGCACCCAGCGATGTACGTTGATCAGCTCAGGAGACAGTAGTAGGAGGCAAGCAAAACAGTAGAAGCGCAAATGAATCCTGCCTTGGCGGGGTGAGGGCCCGTGGTCTCCATCCGCTACCCACTGCAGAGGTTCTCCCATGCGCGAACTGTCCCAGGCTCTGAGAAATCAGACTTGGACTCTGCAAAGTTTCTGCTCAGAGAGTGAGCCTCAGTTTTCTCCTAAAGATAATGGGGTAATAACTGCTCCCACTCTAGCCCAGGGAGCGCTCTACAATCTCATTATCACGATTACCGTTCAGTTAGCATTGTCTCTCCTCTCCCCACCCCTATCTGACCTGGCTCAGCTCAGCCTCTGGTGACCTCCAAGTAGGTTCTCTTGGCAAAGACAGAGCAGAACCACCCTGCCAGCCTGTTTGCCCCAAATCCCAGAGCCCTGGGCCTGAGCTGCAGCTACTCGACCCTGATTGTCCCTGTACCCACAAGGCAAATGCCACCACAGCTGGTGCCTAACCAGGGCAGCCTGAGAGTGGGCACAGAACCATACCGCTCTCCAAGCATGGGTGCACGTGCTCTGGCCGAGGGAAGAGCCCAGCTCCCCCACTCACCAGCCGTGTGACCCTGGGCCAGTAACACCACCTCTCTGAGCTTCACTTTCCCCATCTGTAAAAGGCAGAGAATCATAGCTGCTACCTCACAGGGTTAAGTGAAGATGCGACACAAAGGCCCTCTTCACTGTGTCTGGGACAAGCGCAAGAAATGCTAGCTGTCGCTGCTCCTGAGCGCTTGCTTTCCGCCTGACGCCCCTGGCCTAGCCAAGCCTGCGGGATGGTTGCATCCTCGTAGCCCCCACTGGGGGCGAGGAAAGTCTGCAGATGCCGCAGAGCTTGTGTTAAAAACAGACAACAGGCCCCATATGAAGTCCCTTATGCTAAGCCACACAATGTCACCAAACCAAGACTTAATTACGGCTTCAGCTCTCCCAGAAATGGAATTGTAAACATGTCAGTCAGGAACAGGAATCACCTGGTCAGCACTAGTTAGACCCCTGCCACCCACTAAAGGAGTGAACTAACCAACCTTGCACTAACCAGCCACTTTTTCTCCTGGTAAGCTTCCTCGCTGCCACTCCCCTCTGGCCGTAAAGTCTTCCATTTTGCACAGCTCCTCAGAGCCCCTTCCTATCTGCTGGATTGGGTGCTGCCCCATTTGTGAGTCACTGAGTAAAGCCCACAAGGTCTTTAAAATGTACTCAGTGGAATTTTGGGTTTTTGATACTTACTAAGTGTCAAAACTCATGCTCTTCGATGGCTTAGTGCCCCACTCCCACTGCCATGGCACCTCCTTCCAGGAACCTGGTGTGCGGACCTGGAGCAAGGTCCCCCCCCCCCAGTAGCCAGCCCTGGAGAGCTGTGGGGAATGTGGACTGGGCTGGGGGACCCTGCATAAGTCACTTCTCCCCTCTGAGTCCCCCCAGTGGTAGCAGGGGTGGGTCCTCACAGGCGGCCCTGTATGCAGTTGTAGAAAGGACCCCAAACTGCCACCTCTGTCCTTCCAAGTGCCACAGGCCCCTTAGTGCTCCCCCAGCCCACGAGGCTCTCAGGGGCAGCCAGGGGGTCTCTAGAGTTTGGGGAGGTGAAGTGAAGGAATTGGAACAATCCTCACAGCCCTGTGAGGTAGGAACTAGCCCGTTTTAGGCAGGAGGAAAGTGGGGTTCAGACCAGAAAGGGGAGGTGCCAGGTCCCACGCTGGAACTAGGATTGGGACCCACCTGGTGTGACACACTCACAGGTGAGTAGAGGATGTGAGACTCTGGGTGTGTTTCTTGGAGTGAATTGTGACTGTGAGCCAGATCTCTGGGGTGTGCTTCTGTGGGTGCACCTGGGTGTAAGGATGTGTGTCTTAGGGACACTGTGGGTGTCCCACTGACCTGGGTGTGGATGGGCAGGACAGATCCTGTAGACAACCCCCTTCCCGTGCTCAGACCCACTGACACTCCCCCAGCCTGGCCAACCCCTACCCTCCTGGCCCCCTGTAGGGCAGAAGGTGCCCTTGTGGGGGCTTCTTACTGAGTGGCACTACTCTGGTGGGGGCTGGGAGCTGTTAGGAGAGGACCCAACGCACAGGGGCCGTGGCCAGGAGGGTCTTCCTGGGAAAGTCTGCCATAGGACAGAGAGCACACGGCTGGGACAGACAGCTGCGGGCTCAGGACACCGTCCAGGGACAGAGCTCGGGCCAGTGTGCCCCAGGGCTCTCCTGGCCACCCCACCCCAAGGCAGCCCTAGAGCCAGCCTCCGTGGGCTCTGCTCTCCCTCCCCCGCGCCCCCTCTTCCCAGCTCTTCCACTGGGGGACGTTCTCTCCCTCCCCGTCCTCGGGCTTGCCTTTTCCACGGCCCGGTGTCTGCGACCGTCGCGGCGATCCCTGCCCACGGGTCCCTGGCTGCGCCC